CACGAGCAGCCGACGCGGACCCACGACACCTAAGACAGCGTCGGCCACCGTCTGACAGAGCGTGACCTGTCTCAAAAGCAGTCAGCACATCAAGGCTAGGGGGCGGAGGCAGGGGAGGAGGGTCAGGAGGAGGGCTAGCAGCAGCAGGAGCACGCTCACTGTTCCCTTCCACATCCCTGGCTCCCCGAGCCCCTCGCCTCGGATGCCGACCCGTCTGGCCGCCGCTCGGCTGCAGCTGCCTCTCGGCCCCCATCGCGTCGATGTGAGACCTGGTGATCATCATGCGGATGAGGTGCAGCACACGTTCTTTCTCCAGGATGTCGGCACGGACGGGCTCGGGGATTCGCGCCACTGCCGCGCCTTCCCCTGCTCGGACATCGGCTGCAACGTTGCCTGCAGCCATCCAGCCTGAGCCCGCTCGACGTGCCACGACATCCTCCGCTCCCAGATGGGAGTTGGTAAACGACACCGTCACGCGCTCGGGCCGCCGAGAGGCGCCTCGGAACAACAACCCAATCTTGGCCCACAACTCAGAGTGCTCTCCTGAGGGAGAAAGATACTTCTGGGACCACCATCCGTCGTGATCCATCTTATTGCCCGTCACATATGTCACGTATATAGTAGTGATTCTCAAGGCCACCCACAAGATATACAGCTCACCTCTGGGTACAGTCTGGGCCACACCTGGAAGCGCGCCGAAGAGGTTGACCTGCGAGATCATATTCGTCTCACTCTCCATCATCGTCAGGCCGAGCCCAATCCGACGAAACCGTACATCTGCTGAATCCTGACCGCCACTGGCGTCTCCGAGCAACAACGCGGGTTTGTCGCATTCCCCTGGCCCCAACACTCCGTCGTCGACTCCGTCATTGAGGCCAATGCAGAACCACGCCTCTTCGTCGGGCGGCTCGGGCACCACCGCCCAGGGTGCTGGCATGGCCCCCCGGAGCCGGTACGCTGGAGCCGATTCGTGCTGGGTCATCGCGGCCATATACAACTCATCCGTCTTAGCATACATAGGGTGGTTCACATTATGATCGCACTCCCATATCCGATGAAATGGTGACTCGTTACGTTTCCTGCATCTCGGGCAAAGTGCGCATACTTGGACTTTCACTGAAACTTCTGCTCGACGGAGCCTTAGCCAGGGACCCCCAGCCACGACCGTGGACAGAAGTTCGGGCAGACGGCGCCCACGCGGTAACTGCTCCAGGTGCCTCAAAAGCCGCTGCAGAGAAACCGCATCCATACCTTGCCCAAGACCTTCCCCGCAGTAGTGCTTGCTGGCGGAGGCCCACAAGAGCCCTTCCGATGTTTTGCTGAAATCCAAGGAAAAATCGTGTCGTTCAAAGCGGCAGTGTCGGGATACCCAGCCTCAGGAAACCTCCATTCGGCCCCGTCCGCCATTGCCCAGCATGCAGGCGATATCGGACCCCAGCCACGCTCCAGAAGGGCCAGAATAACTGCCGACATAGGTCCCCTCACCCACCTCAAACGCTGAGAAGGGGGAAGGCCTCTGAAATGCTGGACAACGGGGCCCCATGCCTTGTGCACCCTGCTCCTGATCTCGGGCCTGGCAAACCATTGTTGGAGCCAAAGCTGCAAGGACTGCTGAGGGTACCTAACTCCAGGGTCGAGACCAGGGGCTTTGATCGCCAGAGTGGAGGTCAAACGCCGACCACGACCACCCGAGGAAATAGCAGCGGCAGGACACCTCCGAAAGGATACAAGACGCTGGCCGAAGGTCCCGCGCAGCTCCTGCCCGTAGTTGCCTGCCGCCTGCGCTCCCATACGCTCGAGCCTCGACGTGATGGTGTACTGCTTGGAAGCCCGTGCAAATCGAACGACGCGGGCGTGCATGCGACCATGTTTAGCAACCCGCTTCGTTCGTGTGGCACGTGCAGTCCTCCTCCCTCCTCCTTGATCGGTGCCGAGATACGCCCCTTGTAATTGCGGCCTGACAGTGGACCCTTCAACCTTAAGGCGTTGAGCAATCTCCTTGGCGTCTCCGTGACAAGAACAGATAACGATCGACTTCGGCGGGACATCCAGATGCCATTTAGCAAGCTTATTACAAGTTGCCCCCAGGCATGCCGTGACACCTTCGACGACCGACGTCCTGGAACCAGGCGCACGCTGCGACAAGCCGTCGATCCAAATGCGGTGCCCCAGTGCAGAATGCGCGCGGGATCTATGTGCCATTGCATAACATAATGTGCCATGCACTTCGCGAGCCGCGTCCCTGAACGAAGGCTCTGGATGATACTGCGATCCACCAAGAAGGGAGCACTCACAGACCCGAATTGCTCCAAGGTGCGTGCTGCAACACATTGAGCCAATTCCAAATATAAAATGACAGGAGGAAAACCCAGGCGAAGAGCCGCAAACACCAACAGGTCCCACTCTATGCCGTCGTGGAACCCTTTGGATATCCAACATGCCGTGCCCCGTGGGGAGCTTCATCCAACCTGCTACTTCATCTGCTAACGTACAGTGAAAAGCCTCAACCAACGAACTGTTCCCTTTGATGGCGGCGCCCCACTCTGTCTCGACTAGCCCGCGCCATCCGCGTGCCTGCTGCTCACGAATGCCCGGCCAGATGTGCCCAGCCATGGATATCAATCCTATGACTCGATCTCCTTCCACTTTTTTGGGAAGCGACTTTCCTATCGCCAGTTGAATCTGGCGCGGCCACGTGAGAGTAATCTCAAATCTATTCATCATGGCTGCGAGCTCGTCGAGGCCCGCCTGCGGTAATCGTTCGGCGCCCAGGGGCGTGAGTCGATCGGCCCCTAAACCAGCCTTGCCACGCGTGCGATGGGCAGCAGCACGGACTCGCTCCCCAGTAATCGGCTCCAGCGGCTCGTCCCGTGCTGCCTCCTTGATTGCAGCGAAAGCCTCAGCCAGACGTGCCTCCTGGGGCGCGCCTGGGTAGCCGATGCGTTCTGACCATTGCTGCGAGGGCCCACAAGATTCCGACAAAACACTGGCGACGCGAGAGACGGATGGGCTCGAGGAGCGCCCACCTCTCGGCTCTGACGCCCCAGCAAGACACGGCGTGGCCTGTGGGGCTTCCGACAAAACGCCGGCGACTGACGAGGCGGCAAGGTTCGAGGAGCATCCGCCGTTCGGCTCTGACTCCTTGGCAAAACATGGCTTGGCCTGACTGGCCTCCAGCAAAACGTGAGCGACTGACGAGTCGGCTGGGTTCGAGGAGCACCCGCCGCTCGGTTCTGACGCCTCGGCAAAACGTGGCTCTGCCCCACCGCGGGGGCCCGCTGAAGTCCAGAGCTCTTTCCACTGCTTGCCTTTCCGATCAAGAATATCTCTGGGGTGCACCAAGACTGTGCTCCCAAACCAGACCTCCTGTGCAGGAAGAGGTTCTTCGCGCATACTCCTGCGCAGCGTTCCCACAGCCTCTTGAGAAGCAATCCGCGTGCGAAATTCGCGCAGTGACTCTCTGACCGCCCTGCGCACAGCACGTTTAGAAAACCGATCTGCTTGCTGCTGAAGACTATCCACCACAACACCTCGGGTAGCCTCCAGGTTCAAAAGCAGCCCGTCCAGACGTTCAAACCTGCATCCTTGTGATCCACGAGAATCTTATCAACTCCCTCGGGTTTGTCGGTGGCGAGATGTCTGGCCACCTGCTGCAGCTGAACCATCTGAGTGCGTCCGTTGTCTCTGCCCCGATGCCGCTCGAACTGCGAGAGAACTGCGGCCGTCCGCT